CGGAAAATTTTTAAATTTGAATCCCGGAAATGGCATTTGCAGCATTCTGAGACACGCCTAATCAGAAAACCCAGAATTCCGGGCGCCAGAGTATGCCTGTTCACAGACGCAGTGCTGTGAATAATATAGTTACAACAAAAATCATGACCAAAGACACCAAAAACGGATCAAGATTGTATTTTAAAATGCTTAAAACGTAGAAAAATTGGGAATCGACTCGCATTACCTCAATCCCATTCCCATTTTTGAGGATTTCATTTCCCATTCCCAATGGCCAAATCCCAGTCCCAGCAACCCAAATCCCATTTTCCCAGTCTAAAAATATATCAATCCCAGTTCCCATTTTACCCCTTCAGGACCCTCTATAAATACTGTTCATTTGTAATAATTATTAAATCACATAGACATAGTGTCATACATGCAATATGTAAAACGAGACGTGCGAATACGTGAAGGGCATCGTACATCTGGATATTGGTTCGTGAAACATTAGCGAACCAAGTTTATGTTGTTGCTACGGAGGAACTGTGATACCATGCATAGAAGCTCTCTGCTGCGGGGTAAAATGTGGCATCGCCATTTCAAAGTGTACGGGGTATTATACGAGAAAATGCGTTTCAGCACAAACAACTCGAAAGCACAAATTCTATGGAAATTCCACGGAACTCTCATGGGAGTAAAAATGAATTCATAATGAAGCAAGAACAGCACCAACAGAGAAAAATGTAACGTTTTCATAGGCTTTTTGGAGGATTTGTACTCGGTAAAATCCTGCCGAAATTTTATCATAAATGCAACAAATAGCGAACTTTTCATGCATGAACTCAAATAAAGAATACCGTTTGTAATTTCCGTGCGCAAGCCACTTTTAGGAGAGCAAAAGTTGACCACCCCCCTGGATAGCAAAATTTACTATTTTCAATTTTTTTTATATTTTCCATAATTTAAGAACTCAAGCAATCCATACATATAAAAAATTTCATTTCATGAACAGAATTGTGGAATTGAGAGCAATTTCAAAATTGTCTTACTTTTTTTGATACACCCTGTATGTATGCACTGACAATCGAAGTCATATACGTCTTCGATTCTGGTGATTGCTGCGTCGATTGTGAATGGCGTTGCCGTTGATATCTGCTTTTTCAGGTGCAAGCAAAATGTGACCGAGAAAAGTCATGATGGCTGCTCAAAAATCTGACTAGAGGAGAAACTTCACTTATCATCATCAAGCAGCCCGTAGAACAGTCTACCACAAGTACACTAGCTGGTTGGACAAATTGGAGAAAACGATATATTATGCCCATTTTTCATCTACAATACATTAGGCCATTGTACCACTTGTATATTGTGCTATACTTTATGTTAGATTTATATATTGAAACACTGAACTGCACATATAACTGGACAGTAGATTATCACGTGACTTTTGATGTTGTTCAAGATGGCGTGGGATTGTAATAAGTAAACGTAACAGTTTATATTCGCTTTATATTTGGAATACTGACTAAAGTTTGTACATATTTATAATTATATTAAATGGTTATTGTTATACACATCTTCGAATCCTGATCTAGGATATTCAATATGAAACATGGTCCTTCTTTGAGCCGGATTGAAACGGATTGAAATTTGATATTTTGAGAACACTTCAAGAAATACGAGCCAATTTACGAGTTATTTGAGAGAATTTACGAGTCCTTCGGGAGAATCTACGAGTCCTTTGGGAGAATCTACGAACATATGAGATAATTAACGAGCTTCGAAAGAATTTACGAACGATTGAGTGAAATATTTACGAGAATTTGAGCGATATATGAGTCATATAAAGCGAACATCGAGACATTGGCAAATCTACGAGTATCTGAGTAAGTCTATACGATTATTTGAGCGAATTTACGAGATTTTATTATACTTACAAGTATTTGGAATCATTATATACGAGCTTTAAAGAGAAATAAACGAGAAATTGCGCCTTAGAACAATATACAGTAACTGTGAACTAAAGGGATTATTAAAAGGTATTTATATACATTTTGAGAAGTTAGATAAAGAGTATACACGTATTCGAGAGTGTAACATTGTTATTATGAGTGAAGAAGCAACAAAGAAACGTAAGATTCGGGGTGGACATAGAACGTCAACTAAGAGAACAATAAATGCTTCATCAACAATTCTTGACGATTTTGATCCTTCAAATAAACAACTTACCGAGAAGTTATTACAACAAAAGATTACATTAAAGGAAAAACTAGACATTCTGCAAAATTTAGACAATGATATACTAGCTATTACTGAGGAGAAAGATATTGAAAAGGAAATTGAAGAAAGTGATCTTTTAAGAGAGAGAATACATGCTACAATTGTCAGAATTGATTCTGTAGTGAGCCCTATGAGCCTACATCCATCACCAAGTCCAGAAGGAACTCAAGAAGAAGGGAATTCTCATAATTCTAGTACTATAGGTCATTCGTCGGCCAAGATAAAGCTACCAAAATTGAGT